ATTTTCTATTTCAAATTGAGTTTTTCAAATTCTTTGTTAGATTTAGTATATACTTAAAAACTTATTGAAGTATAACTCAGCTTAATACCTTTTTTTTTCAATAAAGTAAAAAGAGGAGTCAATTCCCTAAATGGTCACTCAAGTTTATGTAATTGCCTTAAAATATCATTTATGTTTCATTTAGGACCAAAATATCACTTAACTATCACTATTTTCCTCCAAATATACTTACCACTTCAAAAGTCCCCTCTCTCCAAATTGGCATGCCATGTCATTGAAGCCTTTTTTAAAAAAAATAAAAAGAATAGACTTATTTAATTAATCAAACTCAATTAACTAAAATAATGATCTTGTTGTTTTTTTAATTATATATATTAGTTTATTGAGAAGAAATTTTCATACTTAAAAATCTTTTATCATAATTAACTTTTTATTTTTTTATGCTATGAAGAATAGTTTTTTAAAAAAAACTTACTATAATGTCATCAATTTTGAATACTTATAAACACATATATTCAAAAAATATTGATATATAAATCACTGATCAAAATTAAATTAAAAACAAAAGTTAAATAATAAATTTCTCCTTTTTACCAACTATTTTGTCAACCTTACAAATTTATTTGAATACCTTTATGAAAAAAATTACTTAAAATTTTCAAATAACTTACTTAGAGATTTCAAAAATTCTCAGGTAACAATTGCACACAAAAAAAATTCATTGAATTTTATTTGGTAGAAAAATATGAAGGAATTAGATATTTTAAAAGTATTTTTTTTATAATCTTCATAAATTCTCACGTAATTTATATATTTGTTTTGTAGGTGCATAACTTGAATGAATTAAATGGGTCTATTATTCTTTTTTAAAAAATAATGATTTAACGACATGACATATCAACTAGAATAGAAGGAGACTTTTGAGGTATTAGTATATTTTTTTTGGGGGGGGGGGGAAATAAATTAGTAATAATATTAGTCACTTCCTTTTTTTTAAAAAAAAAATAATATTGTAAGCATGAATTTCAAAGTACACAATTAATTATATTGTAATAGTTAATTGACATTTAATATTATTGATTCATTATACAGTTTATGATTAATGGATGTAAGTTAACATTCATGAGTGATTTGCATATCGATATTTTTTTTTGAGTATATGTGTTTATAAGTATTTAAAATTGATGACAATATGGTATATTTTAAAACCCTATTTTTTCATAGCATAAAAAAATAAAAAAGTTTGATTATGATAAAAGATTCTTCAGTATGAAGTTTTCTTCTTAATAAACATATATATATAGATATATATATATTAAAAATAATAAGATTATTATTTTAGTTAAATGAGTTTGATGAATTGAATAAGTCTATTATTTTAAAAAAGACTTTAATAACATGGCATGCCAACTAGGAGAGAGTAAAGTTTTTAAAGTTTTAAGTATATTTGGAGGAAAATAGTGATAGTTGGTGATATTTTGGTCCTAAGTGAAACATAAATGATATTTCAAGGTAATTTCCCAAACTTGAGTGACCATTTAGGGAATTGACTCGTAAAAAGAGCTATTCAAAATTTGGTGGTAAAAATTAAAATAACATTCCTTTGCCAAAAGTAAACGCACAATATACAGAGACAAAACATTTTAATTCGACTTTAACTAACTTTTGAACACCTTAATTTTGAGGATACAAATTTAGATGTATCAATTCTTTTCAGTTGAACACTTTTATTTATAAAATAATCATCAGACACTCTAAAATTTATGTGTTTCATAAGAGTTGGATCTGCATGAGACAATGAGAACGAGTTGAATGTCTAAATGAGTATTTTCAAAGTTGAAACATTTACATGTTCGTTGGCGTCAAATTAAAGTGTCTATCTATGTATTAGACCAAAGAAAAAAATTACAAATTTGGTAAAATAAACGTTTCCAAAAGAAAAACTAGAAAAAAATAATTAATTTACACAACTAATTACTACATCCGTCCACTTTTAATTGTCATAGTTTTCTTTTTTAAATATCAAGGAAAAAGACATAAATTCATCCCTAAACTTGTCCTGAAAAGTCAGTTATACGCTTAAACTATTATGACGACCTATTAGATCATCTCCAACACATCTCTATTATACTCTCTATTCTCTATATTTGGAGAGTAAAATAGAGAATGGGTTCTCCAAGCACTCTCTATTTCACTTTGTATTCTTCAATTATAGAGAGGTGAATAGTAGGTCTCCAAATTTGGAGAACTACTATTCACGTCTCTATTTTACTTTTTGATTATTTTAATATTATTTCTATTATATTACTAATTAAGTTTTTACTTTTTGATTATTTTAATATTATTTCTATTATATTACTAATTAAGTCTTTATCATTTATTATTATTTTCTAATGTAATATAACATCTAAAAATATATTATTAACAAGTTACTACTTCCACCCAAATTAATAATTATTTTATTTTATTTTTAAAAAATTGTCACTTTAAATATGTAATTTAAAGTTATTTTAATATTATTTATATTATATAAGATTATTAATTAAGTCTTTAATATTTGTATTTATTTTTTAAGTAATATAACATCTAAAACATATTATTGATAAGTATACTACTTCCACCCCTAATTAACAAATTTTCTAATTTGATTTTAATTTTTTTGTCATTTTAAATATGTAATTAAATATAATTATTTTTCATTATGAAGTATGGACAAAATTTACCTGATAATTCAAACAATCTATTTTTATGTTATAGTGATTAATTATTAAACTACACGTTTTAATGAGCATGAAAATATTTGATGCAATAGTTCAAAATGGAATAGGGGAAGTAAATTAGTACAACGAACTAATTGGATACAAGATGAAATTGTTAATTTAAACAATTTTTAGCTACACCTAAGAAAATAAGGACAAAAAAATTGCTCATTTTGAACTCCGTAATACATTAATAGAACAGTTATGAGAGTAACGTAATAGTCTTGAAAGTTGAGTATTTATATAAAATTGAAAATAAATTTTACGATGATACAATATATATGATGTAATTATATTTCATCAATGATTTCACTTTTATTTGGATTATTCGTTAATATGTATTATATATAATTTTATTGCAATTTATGTTATTTAGAAATTTAGATTAAAATATAATTTTATATTAAATGGAGAATTTGAAAAAAAAAATTGTATTACATAAAGATTATAGAGGGATTATTTGCAAAAAGAAGAAATGATTTATATTATGAAATAAGAAAATAAAAATGAAAATAGAAATAATAATATAATATTGAGGAGAGAGAAAAAATTTCTTTTTTAAAAAGTAAAATCGAGAATTGGGTTGGAGTTGGTTGTCTGAAAAAAACACAGTCTATATTTGGAGAGTAAAATAGAGGATGAGGTTGGAGATGCCCTTACACACCTTTACTATTTAAAATTGATTTTAATACTACCTTGAGACGTGTAACACCACTCTCACAACATGTAGTATATTACAATCGCTGCCACATAAGCACTATGTCAGCGCCATGTCATATTTTATAATTTCTTATATTCTTTTTGTTTTCTTTTCTTTACTATTAATTAACTTTCTTTTTATTAACTCTATTTTACACTAATTAATCATTAAAATTCTCTAATAATTATATCTTCTTTATCACTAAATTCCACCCACTTTATCTCTAATCTTATAGAAAAAATCATTCTTTTGATTTATATCATGATTTTCTTTGTCTTTTCCAGCGAAGAACAACCAACCCATCACCACCATTAGCCCACCTCCATTCGTTCTTCTTTTCTGACAAACCATTAGCCACCAAATAATCACCTAAACCACCACAAAACAACCACTCAAAATTTAAATCAATCACCGAAAAACATAAAATCAGACCTCATTACCTTATCCCTTTGCGATTTTATTCTTTTGATTTCTTTGGCAGGTGTGTCGGCGAGCTCAAAGCTTCAGTCATGGCTCCGATGAAGTTTCAAAGAGCTCCACACTTCCAGATCTGAACAACTAACAAATAACCACAACCAACAACACTAGTACTACACTCTCGTTGTTGTGAATCTTTGAGGTTGTGATGAAAAATAAAAAGTTGTGATAACATTAAAAAATGAAGAAGAAGAGGGTAATGGGAGGGAAAGGAAGATTTTGATTTTTAATTCTTTTTTGAACTTTAATTTTTTCTGACGCGCTAGTTTTTTATTTTTTATTTTGCCACGTCAATTTTAGGGAGTAAATAAATTCATTTTTAAGTAGTAAATGTGTGTAATAGGTCATCATGATAATTTAAGTGTGTAACTGACTTTTCAGAACAAGTTCAAGGGAAGTCTATGCCTTTTCTCTAAAATCAAACAATAACAACTTTGACCAGCATTTTACGATGTATTTTTTCATTATATTGATATAAAAAGAATGAAATTTACAGTACTTTTTTCTATTGTTTTTGAATATCTAAATTTTTGTTTAAAATATCGAATTAATATAATCTAATTTAACTTGAAATTAATCAAATTGACTTTCGAAAAATGCAACATGACAATTAAAATTGGACAGAGAGAGTAATTACTATTTTTTTCTCCCACCAATTATCCAATATTTACAAACCATTCACATGGTTTTCAGGGTTTGTTTGGTATACGAGATTTAAGTATAATTAGTTTTGAGATTAATTTTAGAATAAAGTTAGCTTAGTTTAGTTGAGATAAAATCGAAAAATAACTTATCATCTAGTTAGTGGGATAATTAATTTCAAAATAACCGGTTCAGCAGGTGGGTCCCACGTCCAGCTTTTCCTATACTCTTTCCTCCCTCCATATTATCTTCATCCTTCGCTCTTCCTTATTGGCGGGAATTTTTCGAAAATCCCCAAAACTCAAAACCCTAATTTGCGCCAAAACATATTTAAATTCTTAATTATCCTATATAATCACTTCACTAAGAGGCCAAAAAAGCATATTCCTTTCATCTAGTGTTCGACGAAATTTCTCAAAGAGATTTTGTTGAAAAAATGTATGTGGTGAAGAGAGATGGGCGTCAGGAAACTGTTCATTTTGATAAAATTACTGCTAGGCTTAAGAAATTGAGTTATGGGTTAAGTACTGATCATTGTGATCCGGTTCTTGTTTCTCAGAAGGTTTGTGCTGGTGTTTACAAGGGTGTTACTACTAGTCAGCTTGATGAATTGGCTGCGGAAACTGCTGCTGCTATGACTGCTAATCATCCTGATTATGCCTGTGTGAGTTACTCGATTTTGAATTATTTGGTTTGGCATGCTTATGATGTTTCTGTTTGGAGGTGGATTTAGGATTTGAAATATGTGGGTTCAATAATAAGGTTTTTAGCATTGAACCCGCTGTATTTTTGAAGTTATGGATTCATATTACTGTAGTTTTAATGAGTTTTTACACATAAATTTGTGATCTGTGTTGAAAGTTATGGGTCTGGTTTTATCTGTGTTTTTTTTTTCATAATTGCTTCTGGGTTGGTTTTGATTGTGTTGATGTTTAGAAATGCTACTGAAATTTAGCGTTTTTTTAACTCATGGATCTATGCTCCGTGTCGCAAGTTATGGGTCTGGTTAATTTGTGTTTTTTAAAAAAAATTGTAATTGCTTCTGGGTTCGTTTTGATTGTGTTGATCTTTAGTAATGCTGCTGAATTGTAGCATTTGTTCAAGTTTGGGAAATTTTGTGCGTCTGGATTCATTTTTTTTCTTTAATTGTTTACAATTCAAACGTTTGATAATTTTAAATAGCTGTAGAGACTCTACAGCTTTAGTGGTTGTGTTTATATTGAAAGCAGAATGTTGGTTTGGAAATTGAAATCTGGGTTCATTTTTTGCTTGTGTTTTGCTAAAGCTGAATATTTATTAACATCTCTTTTAATTTTGTTGTTTGTTGGAATTTGTGTTTTTTTTCTTCTAAAGTTCAGATTTTGGCTTTCATTTTCAGTCATGATATGTTGAGTTTAAACATTGTTATGGAATTGATATTATTGTTCTGTTTTGCTCTTTGCATATTTCTGTTCATTTTTTCAGTTTGATCTCCCATTGTTTTCCTTTCTGTTTCAGTGTTCCCCACAGTTTTGTAATGGTCAACCATGCTTTTGTATGCATATGCTTTCTTAAAATAGGTTGGTTTGGGATCATGTTTGAATAATTGAGCTAGACTAAAATCTTGAGGTGATTTATGTAATCAAACAACAAATAAACAGGAATTAGACTCTTTGCCGTGTTTTATGCTTTTTATAGTGAAGTTCTAAGGATAATTCCTATAAAAAAAACTCGGTACACATTAAAAAGGAGAATAAAGATATGAGATGACTGACTTAAAATGAGAAACATGCAGACAAAAACAGTTTCTATTAACTCCTCCACTGTTATAAGGTAGATATATTGAAGCTTCTATGATGCATAGTAGGAAAAAGTATTTTTCTATGATGAATGTGTTAATTAATCCGTGATTTGTCAAAACTCTTGGTGCAGCTGGCTGCAAGGATTGCTGTGTCCAACCTGCACAAGAACACCAAGAAATCATTTTCCGAGACGTAAGTGATTTGTATCAACATTGGTCATTAGTCTTCCATTTACTTTTATTTTTCATATAAATTAAATTGTCGGTGTAATGATCAACAATAACAAAGTTCTGGTTGCAATAATGGAATATCACAGGATTAAGGACATGTACTACCATGTTAGTGAGAGATCTGGATTGAAGGCACCACTGGTTTCTGATGAAGTTTATGAGATAATCATGAAGGTATCACTGCCATTTGGAATATTCCTTTAATGGTTATGTGTTGGATCTTAGCTATTTTTTTCTTAATCAAGATCAAGTTTAAAGTTTTTGGCCTTTGGGTTAATCAAGAGCTTGTTCATAATTTCCTGTAGAGATACTTATTAACAGCTTGCCTTTTTTCTCTCAGAATGCTGCTCGTCTGGACAGTGAGATCATATACGACAGAGACTTTGACTATGATTACTTTGGTTTCAAAACCCTTGAAAGGTCTTACCTCTTGAAGATTCAGGGAAAGATTGTAGAAAGGCCACAACACATGCTGATGAGAGTATCTGTTGGAATCCACAAAGAGGATATTGAATCTGTCATCAAGACATATCATTTGATGTCTCAACGCTGGTTCACTCATGCATCTCCAACACTATTTAATGCTGGCACTCCAAGGCCTCAAGTAGGTCAACATTCTTTTAATACTGTGTTTTTTTTCTTGATTTGATGATTCAACTAAGTCATCATTGATTTGTCCAATATGTTTTAAAAATAATTGTTTCTTACCCAACACTGTCCTCCTGTTCATTGACATCTTTTGGTAAAATGTTCCCTGATTTTACATCGTATTCTTTTGGGGCCTGCAGTTAAGTAGCTGCTTCCTGATATGCATGAAAGATGATAGTATTGAGGGCATATATGATACTCTTAAGGAATGTGCTGTTATTAGCAAATCAGCTGGGGGAATTGGCGTATCTGTGCACAACATACGTGCTACTGGGAGTTATATTCGTGGAACAAACGGAACATCAAATGGGATTGTTCCTATGCTGCGTGTGTTTAATGATACTGCCAGATATGTTGATCAAGGGGGTGGCAAAAGAAAGGGTGTGGCCTCATTTCTGTGCTTGTTTAGATAATTCTAGAAGTTTAGGGTGTAGGGACTACCTTCACTTTTCTCACTCTGTAATGCTGTGTTTAGGTGCTTTTGCTGTCTACCTTGAGCCTTGGCATGCTGATATATTTGAATTTCTGGATTTAAGGAAGAACCATGGGAAGGTATAGTACTCTTTTTATCATCAATTGTATAATATATTGTCCATTGGGTTTGCACTTGCTCTCTGCCACTGCACTAGATTGCTGTACTCCTTTCATACGGCAAAGCTTGTCTGTACTCAACAATTTGACAAGACATGGATGATGTTTCCATTTCTTCAGGAAGAGAATCGGGCACGGGATCTTTTCTATGCTCTTTGGGTACCAGATCTTTTTATGCAAAGAGTCCAAAGCAATGGGGTATGGTCTTTGTTTTGTCCATGTGAGGCTCCTGGATTGGCAGATTGCTGGGGTGAAGATTTTGAGAAGCTATACACAAAATATGAAAAAGAGGTAAAAACAAGTGTTTCTACTGAGGTTAATTGCACACCATTTATATGGTATATTAAAGATCATTCAGCATTGATCATAAACAATATTCTTTGGTCAACTCAGGGAAAGGCAAAGAAGGTCGTTCAGGCACAAAATCTCTGGTTTGAGATCTTAAAGTCCCAGATAGAAACTGGGACCCCTTACATGTTGTACAAGGTGACTTTCATATGATTCTGTTATTCTTCTCATTGTTTGTCGGGATGCACTTAATTTTACTCTACCAATATTCTGTTTGTTATTGTAGGATTCTTGCAATAGAAAAAGCAACCAGCAGAATCTTGGTACTATCAAGTCTTCTAACTTGTGTACAGAGATTATTGAGTACACAAGTCCAACTGAAACTGCTGTTTGCAATCTTGCTTCAATTGCTCTACCAAGATATGTTAGAGAGAAGGTAGTTAATATTGGTATATACTTAAAACTTACTTGTCCTACTTTCTCCTGGCCTCTTAGTGTAGTGTTGCCTTTATATCTTTCAGGGGATCCCAGGTGAATCACAACCATCTAAGCTTGTAGGGAGTAGAGGTTCTAAAAATCGATACTTTGATTTTGACAAATTGGCAGAGGTTTGTTTTGTTCTAAGTACCAACTTTTTTGAACATGTTTTTCTTGACATTATTCTTAATTTTGCTCTGTTTGCCATGGGAGACAGGTTACTGCATTAGTCACTTCCAACCTGAACAAAATTATTGATGTCAATTACTACCCTGTCGAAACTGCAAAAAGGTCTAACTTACGACATAGGCCTATTGGACTTGGAGTCCAGGGACTTGCAGACACATTCATTTTGCTTGGCATGGCATTTGATTCCCAGGAGGTAAGTTTTGTCTAATCATCTTTCCAAGCTGTACATTTGTGCAGATTGTTCTGATCTTATAATTTGTCTATGTATAGGCTCAGCAGCTAAACAAGGACATATTTGAGACAATATACTACCATGCATTAAAAGCTTCTTCTGAATTAGCTGCCAAGGAAGGCCCATACGAGACATATGCAGGAAGTCCTGTAAGCAAGGTATAAATCCTTTTGCTCCTAGATTTAACTGATGGGTAATATGTGAATGGCATGTTTGATTTTCCAGTGCATATTGATGGTCATCCATGATTTAGTCGAAATAGTTGTTAGACTGCTAAGTGTACTAACCTAAATAAATTAGCATCTTCTTACTAGTTCAACTTTGAAGATATGATACAAGTTTGAAGAGAATTTGAAAATGCTGAGACACAAATTATACACACTACTGTAGAACATGAAATGACTGCTAGATTTTATTTTGATCAAGTATTATTGATTCACGTTGTATTTCCACTAAATAATATTATGCTGTTCAGGGTATTCTCCAGCCAGACATGTGGGGAATAACACCATCAGATAAATGGGATTGGCATGCTCTTCGTGAAATGATTGCAAATAATGGTGTAAGAAATTCACTTCTTGTAGCTCCAATGCCAACTGCTTCAACCAGCCAAATTCTTGGAAATAATGAATGCTTTGAGCCATATACATCTAATATCTACAGCCGAAGGGTTCTGAGGTAACACCTGCTGCCAGATCCTGCAGCTGCTGCTGATTTTTATCATACTTGTTGCATATGATTTATACATGGTTTATTTTTGTTCTCCAGTGGTGAATTTGTTGTGGTGAACAAACATCTTCTGCATGACCTAACCGAGATGGGGCTCTGGTCACCTGCTGTTAAGAATAGGATAATATATGATGATGGTTCTGTGCAGAAAATCCCTGAAATTCCAGATGATCTTAAAGTTATTTATAAGTATGAACTTTCACTAATTACTTGTTCAGTTTTTATGTTCACTTTATTTCCACTTACATTCTAATACTGTTCACTGACTTCAGGACTGTTTGGGAGATCAAGCAACGGACCCTGGTTGATATGGCTGTAGACCGTGGTTGCTACATAGATCAGAGTCAAAGCCTCAACATCCATATGGATCAACCCAATTTTGGAAAGCTCACGTCCCTTCATTTTCATGCTTGGTCCAGGGTATGCTTCAATTTCACATTATAAGTTTTGTTGGTCTTTTGAAGTGTGCATATGCACTAAGAAATGGTCTGGTGTATTGTTACTCAATAGTTTAGTACAAACATCCATTTAAAGAGATCTTTTAGTGTCTAGTGAACCTAATTGTCAGTCTAGAGCAGCATGAACTGATCTTTATAGGTTCCATCTTCACAGGTCAATTTAGAGTCTCAGTTTCATCTTTCTTGTTATTGTAGGGTTTGAAAACTGGAATGTACTATCTACGATCACGTGCTGCAGCTGATGCAATCAAGTTCACAGTTGACACTTCCATGCTGAAGGTAGTAAGTAGTAACATTATAATTATGAGTACTCATCATCATATTATTTTGTTCATTCTTACAAACTGCACGTGGGGATTTCAATTTGCAGGAAAAGCCAAAGACTGCTGTTGACGAAGAAACTAAAATGGCTCAGATGGTGTGCTCTTTGACAAACCGCGAGGACTGTTTATCCTGTGGAAGTTAGTGCTAAGTCGGAGATACTGATCTCGTTGTGGGTTTCTTCTATTGCCTACTGGGAAACCTCTTCATAGATAAGCCAAACAGACCTTGGCTTTGTGGAAGTTGCATGTACTGATGTTCATTAGATTAGAACTAATTATGTATATAATAAATATATATCTGGTTATAGTATAGTATATGTTTTTCTATAAACAAGGAAAAATATGCAACTCTCTTGTATTGGTAAGTGGTGTCTTTGTAATTCATTTTTACTTGAGATAGCAGCAATGAGTTTCTCTTACAGCAACTTTAAGATTTGAAATGTGTGCAAAAATATGAAATTAATCTTGTCAATAATTTATTAGTTTGACTAAACAAGTATTGGTTTATGTATATCGAAATACATCTAAATCATATTGGTTCTGTTTAGCTTGAGTTTGAATCTCACTTTTAACACACACACATATATATTTGACTTAGCTACTTTCACAACACTCGAAACCTTAAAATCGTAGATCCGAGTGTGCCCCACCCACCCTCATTGATCTCATTTGTATTTTGACAATTGACAATTTGACATGATACATATTTAGACTTTGTTACTATCTTTTTTCTTCTCCGAGTTAAATTAGTAAGTAGCTGTCAATCCACCTTAAATAACCTGTTGTAATTTAAAGGAACAGTAGTTAAAATGATGTTTAAATTAGGATCGAATTTATAGTGCCATATTCATATTTTATGAGGATTTTATAATATTTTGGATATTTCTTAAAATGTATTTATCGGGTGAGCTAAATAATATTTGTACACACATTGATCAAAAGCAAAATGGAAAAGGGTCAAAATTATCCTCGAACTATTCGAAATAGCTCATATATATCCTTTATTTATGTTTGAGATCAAAACTATCCTTGCCGTCTATGTTTTGGACCACAAATACACTTAAAACGTTATCTTTGCCATATGTGCTGACATGACAGTCCACCTAGGCAGTCCAACATGGCAAAAAGTCCCTTCCTCTCAATTATGTTTTCTTCCTTGTTCTATAGAATGTTCTTGTGAATTATGGCCAATATCGGGTATATAAGCAGTGATTTCAAATCCAGAGGTTAATCGTACTCTGACAACTTTACGTAAGGCAGAGTTTGGTTTTTTTGGGGTGATAGTGGAAAAGTTGACAGATAAGTCACCCTTACCGCCACTCTACAGAATCGTACATGAGATTTTTACCTCATACGACTCCTCGTTCAATTCTTTCGAATTCATTGGATCCTTTTCCGCGTTCAAGAATCCCCCCCTTCTTCCACATCTCTATCACAATTTTTTTTTTTTTTAAATATCAAACATAGTTCTTTCATTGTTCTTGTTTGAGTTATTGATTGGACTTTGAAATTCCAATTTTGAAGTACGCTGAAGTTCGTTTGAGATAGTAGTTGTGTGTTGAATAATCGAGTTCATTGTTTGGGTTTTGATGTCATCGAATTTGAGGCTGAAAATTAATTCTCAAGGTTGACATATGTTGAAAAACTCTTGAAGTCATTCTTTTTGTGTTGAAACTCGAAAATAGCTACTTATTTGAAAGCTTGTTGGTGATAAATTTCAAGCTTTTGTTGGTTTTCGAAGTGCAAAAATTTGAAGAGATTTAATTGAATGTTACTAAAAATTGCTTGAATATTGCAATTGAAGCTAGAAATTTACATTTAACAACTGATTTCTTAGTTTGAAGATTGATATTGAAGATTTGAGATTTTTTGGATATTGCAATTGAAGTTGGAAATTGACATTTAACAATTGATTTCTTAGTTTGAAGATTGATATTGAAATCTCAGAAAGATATATGAAAGAGTTCTAAAAAGCTTGAAAATCTAAAAATTGATTTTGTAAATCTATGACTCTAAAACCCAAACAATGAACTCGATTCTTCAACACGCAATTACAATTTCAAACAAACTTCAGCACACTTTGAAATTGGATTTCTAAAGTCCGAACAACTCAAACAAAAACAATGGAAGAATTATATTTGATTTTCTTTTTGTGATAGGGATGAACAGGAAGAACAACATTACTGAGAGGATGGTGTTTTTTTCATGTTGGACTGCCATGTCAGCTCTAATGGCAAAGATAGCGTTTTAAGGGTATTTTTGGTCAAGACATAGACGGCAAGGGTAGTTTTGATCTCAAACATAATTAAAAGGTATATATAAGCTATTTTGAATAGTTCGAGAGTAATTTTAACCTTTTTCCGAAGGCAAAATGACTAAATAATTCTTTTATTATTATGACTCATTTACACTATGAACAAAAAATAATAATTAAACCCCTCACCTTCACACTTCAATTTTTCCATGGAGAAATTAATTGAATCGTTTGGAATTTAAGCGTCAATCACTATATTATATCATAATCAAGTTTTTTTTTTTTTTTGAGTTTAATAATAGAGTGACCTTATTCTAATACTAATAGTAATAAAATCTAGTAGACCGCCTACTCTTTGACCAATTAAACCATGATTAGAGACTTTTCGTATGAACATAATCACTTCACTTCACATATCCAATAATATAAAAACAAATAGTAGTAGTCCAATTTAATGTGTTCTTTTTTGGTTAATTATGTATGCTTATGATGTCTATTTTTGGCTGGAGTGGGGTGGTGGATTTATTTTATTTTAGATAATACAAAATTTTCATTAATTGAACGTAAGAGTGTATAAAAATTGAACGGATTGATAAATTAAATTGAAAAAATGCTATTGATTTATTGCTATTAGGTTAATGGATTTTTAATGATTTTATAAAAAAATATCGGGTTATCGATTCAATTTTGGTTTTTAATATTGGGTAAGCCGATAACTCATTAAGGATGTAGTAATTTACTACTTTATTCCTACATAAATATTATATATTAATCTCAATACCTTACTAATTATTCACTTTACCCTTTAGACTTCAATTCACACTTCACGTTGAGTTTGAGTTCACAACTTTACATTATACAAAACGTAAAAATCTAAAGTAAGAACACTATTCCTTTTAATTTCTCTTTGTGTAACACTTGTATAATTTTTTTCATGTTCGTTATTACTGTTTCAATTTTATGAACGTTTGTAAAGTTACATTATATATTGTCTTGTAGCGTCAAATTGTTGGAGAAGTCATATATTTATTTTATAATCATTTTCTTATTGGTTAAACAGTTAAAACAAAAATCAAATCGTTAAGAACCAAAATCAGTAAATCGAAAATCAGTAAAACTATTTTATTGATTTGGTTATTGATTTAGCTTATTTAAAAATTTAAAACTAATAAATTAAATCGATAATATATAAAATCGAATCGAATCAACCGATGAGAGGTACGTTACATTTCTGATAGTAACTTTTATATATATCTAAGAAATTGAAATTGAGTATGAAATTTGATTTACCCATTTTAACTATCCGTCTTTATTTATTTACTACTTGAAATTATCAATTCTACGTTTTACATATTCATATGATTGAGTCTTTATATTTTTGAAATAGTATAATAGAAATTGCTCCATATAGGTTTTCATGTATGTATTTCATTTTAATATTCAATTATTTCAAAGATAAATTACGTTTTCTTTAGAATTAAAGAATAAAAAATTTCACTTAATACTATCCATCAATAATTTGAGGATTATACCTTAAAAAATATAGATATGAAATAGAGCTATTATAAAAAAAAATAAGATAGAAAATAAATTTTAATTACGAAGTATTAGATAATAGTACACACAATAAGAAAATAAAATGATAATTATAGTATCACACCAAGCAAATCATCATTACATAAAAATGAAACTTTTTATCATTACAAAACAATAAATTTAATGATGATATAAAGAAAAATTTAAAATAACAATTATAAAATAAATGTTTTATTTAATTAACAAAATATCACACAATACAATAATTTAACCACTAACAACCATCGAAACAAGTTGTTAGGTCTAGTCTCACTCTGACACATTGATAATGAGAAAAGGCTTTTTTATATAAAAATATATCTATTCAATATTCGAAATATCTATATTAAAGTCCAATTAGATTTAAACTCACATGAAAAAAGTTTCATATTAATAAGTAAAATAAACCCTAATCAGACGACTTTATAATCAAGAGAACTCAAATCTAAATTTTTAATTTAAAATAAAAAAATATTTATCATTTCATCATAATTTTTATAAGTAATAATAGGAAAAGTTATAGCATAAAGTTGTTAATTATAGAAACAAAAGGGATTTGACTTAAGTCAGCTCTGACCAATTCAAACATCTATTTTCTCCACACTATACTGCCTAGTATTCACATTTCAATAACATTTTCTTTATATTATTTTAGGAGACATCGTTTAATTTGATATGATATTTAATTTTTTTTTAAATTAATGATTTAAAATAATTCTTGAATATATTATATATATGTGTAATTATAAATCATTTTAGTGAAGATTTTTTTTTAGAATAGTAAAATTATTTCTTATTCATCCCATTATAATATTGAGAATTTCTTTGAGCATAATATTTTCTACCACTCATTATGTAGGAGAAGATTCATATATCTAAACTAGACATTGAAATATTTAAAATTATAATCACATCGAGTTAAAATAAGTGTTTCGAAAATCGTTATTATATCCTATCGAAAATTTATAAGGAAGGCCAAAAAAAAGCACTAGCAATAATAATAATAATAATTGCAGAAGGGATTCTAGATCTCATGAAATAAAATAGATTTTTTAACAAAACTATATTAGAAAAATTAATTCAATGCTAGATTATGTGTATTATAAAATTGTACTAGGTTTAAAGCAGACAAAAAGAGAAAAGGGAGCACTTTTAGATTAATTTTAATTTGGATCTTACTATAGAACCTCTGAATATGACAATGACAGCAAAATGTGCGCATCGATCAGTCCCTTAATAATAGTAATAACATACTCTCCGTTTTAATTTATATAATGTAATTTAATTTAATATAGAATTTAAGAAGAAAAGAACGATTTTTAAAATTTATGGTCTAAAATAAATCATAAATACCGTGTAATTATAAATCATTTCGTTGAAAGTAAACATACATTTTAGGGCGGACTACAAAGAAATATAAGCCATATAAATTAGAATAATAATAAAAAATTCTTATAAAATATTGCCTTTTTATTTTGGTTCCATATATAGATA